CCATCAACCATGCAGGGCAGAGAAGTGGCCCATTGGGTTTCCCGGGACGTTTGAAAGCAGACTGACTCATCATTTGTCAGTGGAGCACTTCAATCCACTGGCTTTTCAAACTAACTGAAGAGCTCCTTTTGGGGCCCAACCAAAACCAAACCAAGTGGGAATGCGCAAGAAGTCACGTATTCCCGCCATTACCAGGAACTGCGAAACCAAGCAGGTGCTCTGTCGGTGACGACATATGCAGACCCGGAGATGCTGTGGCCCCATGAGAAGACTGACAAGACTCTGGACCAGGGGCCCACTCCGGATCTGCAAGTCATGGCCCTTATGGACCAGGATGTAAAACTCCTGAGGGCCCGGGCACATGGCCTTTGGCGAACTCACCTCCTGGCTAACACTATTCAATTTCTCCTTATGGCTGTATTGTGTGTTCTTTATCTGATTTTCTTGCTTTCAACTCCGGTAGCTGTAGTCTCTGGAAGAATGTTTAAGTCCAGTAATAATACGCACTTTGTCTTGGTTAATGGCTCCTCTGTAAATGTCACTGCCTTGGCAGTACAGGCTGTGCGCGCTGTTATCAGAGGCAAGGTCTCTGAGGAACAAGCAGTGGCAGTTTGGGCAGAATGTAATAATTACTATCTGGGTAACTACTCAGTTGTGTACAATATTAAGCTAAAACATGAGCTGCTGGTATCCATGCTTGACAACCGTACAGAGAATGCTCCTAAGGCAGAGTCAGTTAAACTTCCCCAAACAACTCTTGGACAGGAACAGATGTTTTGGGACTACGAAAAAGGATTAAGTTGTAATAGTAGCAACCTCCATAAACCACCCCTGGGCATGATCATCTTGATCCTGACGCTCTCCTTGGGGGTCCTGTTGTACACGGTGGCTATGTACACTTAGCTGACTCTCTTAACACTGCTCTGTCTGTCTCTTCACCACCAAAAATTTAATATAGAAATAAGCATTAGCTCATAGGATACTGCAAGTCGCTGCCCTGGGCTACGGGGGCCATGAAGTTAAAGTTTAAACCAATAATTGCTTGCCTGCGCCTTTAACTCCGGAAGAATGGTTGGCTAAGAATATGAGCACAGGATAATTTTCTGAGCACAAGATAATTTTCTAAGATCCAAATTACGCATGAGATTCTGTGAAATCACTTTGTACCCTCTTCAAATAATTAATCACATTAAACTTGTACCTCCTGCCTTGATTTCTCTGATCTGAAAAGGAGTAAAAGACTGAGGTAAAGCTAGTCCTGTATGCTAGCTTGCCTGTCAGCTTGCATCCACTCTGGTCTCAGAGTGTTTCTTTCTCTCTAGCCTTTCCAGACATGCATCAAACTTGTGTGTCTGTCTTCTTTGTGTCTGTTTTGTGTTTAATCTATATCTTTCACCTACCAGATCTCCCACCCTCTTGAAACTCACGCTTCATCAAGGCACCCCTTTGTCCAGGCAAGACCCCAACATAGGAACCCCGACAGCGCTCTCCACCAAAACACCAGAGGTTCTATCAATCTTAGCCATGCCCCACCAACTAGGCATGTCAATCTATTTGTTCTTGGCTGAACTTATCCCCGGTACCCCAAAACTACCAGGGGAAATGCACAATCGCAGCCACCCTCTCTATTCCGGAATGGTTTCTCCCAGACTATTTATCACCCCTTTCCAAAAAACAAATGTCAACTTCCAGGTTACTGTCGTCCCAGCCCCAATGCCCTGCAACTAACTCAAGGCTGTGTCTTACTCAATTCCTTTGCCCCAAATGCAGGCCTTGGGCCGGGCCCCCATCCCCCAAGTCATAACACCCAGTATGAACTACCAGGGCGCAGCCCCCGCCCGCCCCATCGCCCTATCAGCCGAACTCCACCTCGGGCCCTAAAGCCAGGCCCAGCCTTTCCTGATCCCCTCACCGCGCGGGAATAGGCACTCTGGGGTCAAGAATCCGCCAGGACCCCGCTCCATTCTGTCAGCACCTCGGAGTTACGTCAGAACTACCGTCCCCAGAATCCGCCGCGGCCATGGGTGTCACAAGAGCCGCTTCTAAGCCACGCGGGGAATTTACCGGACAACAGCCTGGCCAGTTTATCTTCCTCCACCAGCTAGCAATTCCCCGCTGAAGCCTCCTTTCAGCAGGCCCCCCAGAGACTGCCGCCGAGAAGCCGCGCCCACACACGCCTTCCCGGCGTGCGGAATGACGTTAAGGCGTTTCCGGTTGGCCTCTGGCCTCCCGAACTAAGCCTTTTGGAAAACTGGCTTTTTGACCTTTATTTCCCCCCTCCCATTGAAAACAGAGCTGAGTTCTTGGGCTTCAGCCTCGTATCGGGAGCGCGGTGGGCCTGTAGGATAAGCATGGGACTGCGAACCACTAGGTCTGGGTTTGAACCGATCCATCAGGCGCTCAGCAGGAGAAAGATGAGGCTTTCTGCTCCCTTCCTTCCGCCGCCGGCAGATCCCTGAGCTCAGCCTCAGTTCGCCTAGGAAAGCCGACTGGGAAAGCAAAGCAGGCTCCCAAAGTCTAAGTCCTGGTGGCGCTGTAGGATAAGCACTGAACGATCCGCAAGGTCGGCAGTTCAAACCCACCGGCTTATCAGAACCAACTGCATGGCACACAAGGTCCGAGAAGAAAAAACCAGGAAGATGTTTACCTGTGATTTATTGACTATACAAAGGCATTCGACTGTGTCGATCATCATAAATTATAGATAACATTGCAAAGAATGGGAATTCCAGAACACTTTACTTGTACTCAAGCACAACCTGTCCAACTTTCACATGCATCTGAGGTGATTGAAAATACCATGGCTTGGGGTCAGGCGCACCTCAGTCCTCAAACTGACAGCTTTGTTCTTTAACACTTTAAAGAGGTCTTTTGTAACAGAATAAGAAATTAAATGGGGGACATGACAACAAAATCATCTGAAGTAACAAGGGCAAAACCAGAAGCCAGGATGGCTACATTCGTCTTTCACACTAAGGACATATTATTAGGAGGGGCCAGTCCCTGGAGAAGGACATTGTGTTTGGTAAAGTGGAGGGTCTGGTGGGGCGCGCTGTGGGTTAATGTGCTGGACTACAAAGTCGGTTTGATCCGCAAGGGTGGTGGTGGTTCAAGCTCACCAGCTGCTCCTCGGAAACCCAATACAAGGTCACTATGGGTTGGAACTGACTTGACAGCACTTAACAACAAAGTGGACGGTCGGCAAATGAGAGGAAGACGCCCCCCCCAACGTGATGGATCAGTAAAGTGGCCGCAGAATGGGCTCAATAACAAGAATTGTGACAATGGCTCAGGACAGGACAGTGTTTTGTTCTGTTGTGCATGTTGTTGTTGTTATGTGCCGTGGAGTCGATTTCAACTCATAGTGACCCTACACAGGGAGCAGACCGCCTCATCTTTCTCCCGCAGAACCGCTGGTAGTTTCAAACTGCTGACCTTGTGGTTCGCAGCCCAATTTGTAACCACTGTGCTACCAGAGGTCGCTATGAATCAGAACCAACTCAAGAATATATAAAAACAACATCTATTATTCATGAAAAAAATCTCAACAAAATAGGACTAGAAGGGAAATTCCTCAAGATAATTAAGGGCATATGTCAGCTTGAGGACTAGGGTGCGCCTGACCCAGGCCATTGTGTTTTCAATAGCCTCATATGGATGCGAAAGCTGGACAGTGAATAAAGAGGATCGTAGAAGAATTGATGCCTTTGAGTTGTGGTGTTGGAGGAGAATACTGAGGGTGCCATGGACTGCCAAAAGAACCAATAGATCTGTTTTGGAAGAAGTGCAGCCAGAGTGCTCCTTGGAGGCCAGGATGGCTAAGCTTCGTCTCTCCTACTTTGGACATGTAGTCCGGAGGAAACAATCGTTGGAGAAGGATGTCATGCTGGGTAGGGTGGAGGGTCAGAGAAAAAGAGGAAGACCTCCAACGAGATGGATCGGCCAGGTGGCATCGTTGATGGACTCAGGGGTGGCAGCGTTGGTGAGGTTGGCCCAGGATCGAGCATTGTTTCGTTCTGCTGTGCATGGGGTCGCTATGAGTCGGTTCCGACTCGATGGCACCTGACAACAACAACAACAATATCAAATCAAAGCCCTGTATTAGTCTCAACAGAGACTTAAGGTTTTCTCCTTGGGAATAGGAACCAGACAAGGATGCCTTTTATTATCATTCCTATTCAGTATTGTGCTGGAAGTCTTAGCCAAAGCAGTAATGCCAGAAAGGAAAATCAGAAGCATCCAAGTTAGCAAAGAAGTAAAACTTTCTCTATATGCAGACACTATGACCATAGTGTGTAAAAAAAAACCCAAATAATAAAATTTTTGGAACTTGTTGATAGAGCAAAGTGAGAAGAGTACAAGATCAACATGCAAAACTCAGCTGAATTCCTTTACACTGATAAAAGAGAATTCTGAAATGGAAACCAAGAAAACAATAACACAGTGAATGTTTTGTATCAACTTCACTGGGTCAGGGTTCCTAGTGGTGTGATGGTTAAATTTAGTAATCCCCCATGATAAGAGGACTACTATGAGCAGCTAATCAACTGAAAGGAAGTTTCCTTGGGGGTGTGGTCTTCCTATACATTGGACACTCAGGAAAACGCTTTCTTGCTCATCATCTGACGCTTTAAATCTGGGGCCTCAGGACCATCGTCTTGGGGCCACCATGGTCAACTGACATAAAATGTTCTCAAAGACAATGCTGTACTCTCAGTGGATAACCAGAGGTTTAACATCTCTGTCCTTCAGGTTCCTCCTCTGTAAAATGCACACCATGAGGCTGCCCTTGGTTATTGAGATTAAATGAACGAAGGTAAGAAGTCCAGTGGTAGGGCTGGCGTGGGTAACCTGGACAAAATTGTTATCTGAGTAGCAGCCCAACCCACCCTCTGAATACACTGACTTATACAAACATGATGGAAATCTCTGACCTCCTGTAACTTCACAAAGGGGGAGAAGATCAACAGCCCACAGCAGATTCCAATGAGGCAGAGTGTTGGGAGCAACTGAACTGAAGGTCTACAGCCTGGGAACAGTTTAACCGAGGGTTACAGCTGACCTCTTGGTTGTCACAAAGCGTGACCTTGAATTGTGGACCACCAAAGATGCTCCTTGTCAGCTGTGGCTCATGACATAGGGCTGCACCCAGGTTTAGCTGCTCTAATCTGTGTTCTGGCCTGCTACTACAAGTTACAGTTTTTCTGATAAAGCTCTGCTTACTGCAGGCTCCTTCAGTTCAAGATGTTCTTGTACTCCTTACCCTCCCTTAAGCTGTGTATAAAATAAACTCGCGGCACTAGGTCTGAGCTGCAGTATCTCCATCAGAGTGCTGTGTCCCACCTGCTTCCAACTTTACTTATTTCATTTGTGTCTTCCCTTTTATTTCAGACGCAGCAGCAGAGGTCAGACATGCCTTCACCTCTGACCTTTTTACCAATTCTGACACCAATTTTTGGCTTCAATAATTCGTTGTAACAGCCACACAGAACTCAAAGACAGCACCCACAATTATGCGGTTTATTAGGGAGGTAATAGGTTACCAATTCAAGATTAGAAAATATTCAGAATACAGTTCTTCGATTAGGGCAGCCTCTTCTCAGCAGTGTGAGCAAGCATGCTTCTTTCTGGCCCCCAGCATCTCAGCCCTGTGTTCCCAAGGTCTCTATCCTGCTTGTGGTACAAAGTGCTTTTAGTTTTACTAATAACTCTCCAAAGCACCATACTCGACCAGTACATCTTGTCCTGAAGGTGCTCAGCTCTAGCTCTGTGAATGGGTAAACCTAGTTTTGTTTGTGACTTATGGAACATGTTGTTAAGTGTCACAGAGTTGGTTCCAAAACATAGCGACCCTGTATAGGGTTTCCAAAGAGTGGCTAATGGGTTTGAACTGTCAATCTTGTGGTTCAAACCACTCTGGTATCCCAGTGCGTATCTTCCAGTGCCCACCCTAGGGTAATTCACCTACATTTTCCACCTAAAGGTACAGCGGGAAGGCGCTAGCTCCCTTTTAGTGCATGCTGCCATCTGGTGGAGGCCTGCATTACTGTGTGGATCCAAGATAAGCACTCCACCATAAGGTCAGATTGAACCTCAAGGTCTGCAGGTCAAACTCACCAGCTGCTCTCAAAAACCTTACATGGGGTCATTATGAGTCAGAACCGCCTCGGCGGCACGTAACAACAATAGGACACAGCTGTTGTTAGCATCATCGATGTTCTGACTCGACGACACTGTGTAGGGTTTCCAAGGAGCGGCTGGTGGGTTCGAACTACTGACTTTGCTGTTAAAACTGACTTTGCAGGAGCCAGAGATGATGACGTGGAGTGATGGAGCAGCTGGAGACTTCAGATCCAGAGAGGGAGAGTGACTGGGTGCTGAAGACCTGGGGGGTAAGGGGGTAGGATTGCATGGAGGGGATTGTAACCATGGCAATGAGAGACAATATATGATAGAATGAATGTAAAACTAATGTTCTCCCATGTAAACTATAACATAATTCACAATAAAACATTAAAAAAAAAAAAAACTGACTTTGCAGTCCAGTGCTTACCTTATAGCACCACTAACTGTATCAAAACCCACATTATCAAAATGTCTTCCTCTATTTAAACATGATTTCAACCAAAAAACTCAGAGGATTGAATTTGGCATTGAAAGGGTAAGAGGTCCAACTTATTAGTAAAGCGGCTCATACTCTCTGCCCTCATAATGCTTCTCCTCCCCAAAAAGAAGCTGATGTCCAATTTTCCAAGTTACCACCCATTCTCTCTGCACAGAGCTTCTATTCTACATCCTCTGGTGGAAGAGGAGGAATGATTCCCAGTTAAAGCCCTGGTCACATTTATGGCAAACATAAGACTTCTCATCTGAGCCTGCTTTCTGATGTCTGATAAGTCAGAATTATGACTGAAGCCCCAGATGTGCTCACGGCAAACATAGGGCAGCTCGCAAGTGAGCCCGCTGATGTCTAACAAGGCTTTGCTTGGAGCTGAAGCCTCGCCCACACTCGTTACACACATGTGGCTTCTCCCCTGAGTGTGTCCTTTGGTGCATAAGGAGGCTTGACTTCCGGATAAAATCTCGGCCACACTCACTACAAACATAGGGCTTCTCCCCTGAGTGTGCCCTCTGGTGGTAAAGGAAGCCTGACTTCCAATTAAAGCCTTGGCCACATTTACTGCAAACATATAACCTCTTTCCCGAATGCGTACTCTGGTGCATTAGGAGGACTGATTTCTGGGTAAAGCCTCGGCCACACTCACTGCAAACATAGGGCTTCTCTCCTGAGTGTGTCCACAAGTGTGTGACAAGAGTTGACTTGTGGCTAAAGCCTCGCCCACACTCCTTGCACACATGTGGCTTCTCTCCAGTATGTGTCCTCTGGTGGTTAAGGAGGCCTGACTTGCGGGTAAAGCCTCGGTCACACTCCTTACACAGATACGGCAACTCCCTTGAGTGTGTCTTCTGGTGGTTAAGGAGGCCTGACTTCTGGATAAATCCTCGGCCACACTCACTGCAAACATATTGCTTCTCCTCTGAGTGTGTCCTCTGGTGCATAAGGAGACCTGATTTGTGGGTAAAGGCTCGGCCACACTCACTACAAACATAGGGCTTCTCCCCTGAGTGTGTCCTCTGGTGGTAAAGGAGGCCTGACTTCCAGTGAAAGCTTCGGCCACACTTGTTGCAAACATACAACTTCTCCCCTGAATGTGTGCTCTGGTGCTGAAGGAGAAGTGATCTCTGGGTAAACCCTCGGCCACACTCACTGCAAACATATGGCTTCTCCCCTGAGTGTGTCCTCTGGTGTGTGATGAGAGTTGACTTGTGGCTAAAGCCTCGGCCACACTCTTTGCACACATGTGGCTTCTCCCCTGAGTGTGTCCATTGGTGGTTAAGGAGGCCTGACTGCTGGGCAAAGCCACGGCCACACTCACTGCAAATATATGCCTTCAAATTCGAATGTGTCTTCCTGTGTGTGACAAGATGTGGTGTGTGGCTAAAGCCTTGCCCACACTCAATGCCAACATGTGGCTTCTCCCCTGAGTGTGCCCTTTGGTGAAGAAGGACTGACTGCCAAGAAATATCTTGGTCACACTCCTCATATGTATGCGTTTTCTTCCCTGAGTGTGTCATCTGGTGAACAAAAAGGTTCCAATTCTGGTCAAAGCCTTGACCATCCTCACTGCACACATGGGACTTCTTCCGGAAGACAGGCCTCTGTTTTGCCATGAAGTCTGATCTCAGGCCATAGTCAGCTCCATCCTCTTTATAGTCAACTGCTCCAAATCTTGAGGTTTGTAATTCCTTCAGCGCTTTATCTGTTTCCACATATGTCACTCTTTGGGCCGAGCTGGGCTCTATTCCTAACCTTGTGAGGTCTTCACTAGGGCTTGCTGACTGTCTCTGAGGTGAGCTGGAGAATGCCCTGGAAGCCTCTCTCTCCCCTGTCCTCCCACACACAGGTTTGGAAACATCTTCTCTCTGACCAGCTGTGTTTTCACTCCAGCAGCTCCGATCAGAATCCTGCTGCTCTGGCTGCTTCTGATGGCCTGGGCTGGAACTCTGTGGATGGGAGGGATGTACTGCACAGGAGCCTGGGAAGATCTGAAGTATATGCTGGCTGAGGAATTGCTGACAAGAGAAAGCCAGAAGGCTGGAGGAACAGGGATGAGTGTCCGGCTTTGGATCTACTGAAGAGAGAAAAGTTTTCCATTAGAGCAGCCATGAGTTGGGTGGTCTGGGCTGTCTCCCTTCTCTTACGGCAGACAGTAACCCACTGCTGGAAACCCTGGATGACACAAACTTGATGACAAGCTGAAAACCTGGTGGTTTGGAAGACAGGTCTGGTGATCTCCTTCTGGAAGTTCACACTTTTAATCTGCACAGGAAGATTCCTTATGAGTTGGAATCCACTCAACACCAACTAACAAAAAACAAACTGCTATACTGTAATTCTGTAATTACTGGAGTCCTGGTGTGGTGCTGTGGGCTAATGCATCAGATTACAAAGTCGTTTGAACTGTAAGGCTGGTGGTTCAAGCTCACCAGCTGCTCCTTGGAAACCTTACACAGGGTCACTATGGGTTGGAATTGACTTGACAGCACTTCACAAAAACATACTGTAATTGACAAAATACACAATACAATAAGCTTCCCTTCAACCGTTCATTTATCTTCCATTTTTACAAACTACAGTTTCTACTGCAATTCAGAAGGAGCCCTGGCGGTGCCTATCTGGGAAGCGCAATAAAACAAGGTACGGCTGTCTAAATGTGAAATGATCATTTAGTGTATAAGCTAGTAGTAAACTATTGGGGTTTTGTTATGAAATTACTTAGCCTAAGGTGATCGAAATGTCTCTTTTGAGAAGTCTTTCAAGATTATTTCAGGGAGAATTGGCACATTTATTTTTAACAGTATACTAAAGAAAAGACATCACAACATGAATAAGATGAAGAAAAAAAGACTGGTTTAGAAGGGGAAATTCCTAAATTCTGACAAGATTGAGAATAAACTTTTGACGTGCTGTTGTAATCGTTGTTGTGCGCCGCTGAGTCAGTTCTGACTCATAACAACCCTGTATAGGATTTCCACCGAGAGGCTGGTGAGCTTGATGTTGTGTAGGCAAACAGAAATACAGATGAGGTTCATTATAATACGTCAAAACATAAAAGTTCACAAGTTCCTAAGGATGTGAAAACACAAGAAGAAAAAGAGTGTATTTGAGACTAAGTTCTCTGGACCATTATAGTCTTAAGAAAAGAGAAACAAAGGCAAACTCCACAGGAGAGATATGAAAGACTAGACAACTCAGAGCGCTATAGTGTTAAACAAGGAAAGGGATCCAGGCTTTCCTTATCAAGATTAACTTGAACCAAGTTACATTAGCAGTATTTTCCACCACTCGGTTGCCCTTATGTTATACTGTCATGGCTTCTGTGTTGCTGTGATACTGGAAACCATGTGATGGGTATTTTTAAATCATCCATTACAGATGGTTTCAGCAGAGCTTCCAGACTAAGACAGACTAGGAGAAAGGAGAGCCGAACCATTTCTGAATGGGTGGGTAGTCCCTGAACACCTTATGAATAGCAGAACACTGTCTGATGTAGTCTCAGAAGTGGAGTCCCTCAGGCTGGAAGGCCCTCAAAACACTATGGGGAAGAGCTGCCTTCTCTGAGTTGCCCTTAATGACATACATTTTTAGTAAGTTTTTGAGACTTTCATTTGCTGATGGGGCACAACTCAAAATGAGATGCAACAGCTGCAAACATCAATTAATAATTGGACATAGAGTGTCTGAGGTATAAACTAGGAAAATTGGAGGTAGTCAAAAATGAAACAGAACACATAAATATCAATATCCTAGGCATTTATGAGCTGAAATGAACTGGTATTGGCCATTGAGAATAAAGATAGCCATCTGATTTACACGAGGAATGACAAACTCAAGAGGGATGGCATCACATTCCTCTTAAAAAAAACAGCATTTTAAGATCTTTAAATACAATCAATGCTGTCTATGACAGTATAATCACTATATGCCTAAAGGCAGACCAGTTAATACCACTATTATTCAAATTTACCCACTAAACACTAAGACCATTTATGATGAAATGGAAGAATTCTACCAACTCCATCAGCCTGAAATTGATCAAACATGCCATCAAGAACAGATGATGCATTAGACACTAAAGAAGAGAAGTTGTGGAGTGACATCAAGAACATAAAACCTAAACGCAGAGGACTGCTAGCCAAGGGCATTGTGATCTTGCATGACGACACACGTCCACACACCTCTGCCCACACTGTTGACACTCTGACAAAACTAACAACTCAACCTTGTTTCGAGTTGTTAAAACATCCTCCCTCTAGTCCTGATCTTGCTCCATCAGACTTTCACTTGTTTGGTCCCCTGAAAGCAGCGCTTCGAGGACGAAGCTTCACCTCTGATGAAGAAATGAAGACAGCGGTGCATTCGTGACTTGCAGCTCAGCCTAAAACATTTTTAAATAAGGGAATACAAAGGCTTGTTGACAGATGGACAAAGTATATTGAAAAGCAAGGCGATTATGTCATAATGATGTACTTGTCTTTTCTAAATTTATTTTACTTATTAAAATAAATTCCACAGCCGGAGTGCTGATAATTTTTCAGTCACTCTTGTATATATGTGTTGATATATATATATATATATATATACACACACATACATACATAAAGGGAAAGAGAGAGAAAGAGAGGGAGAGACTGAATGATAAATAAAAGTTCTATTTTTTTTATTCCCCTCCCCCCCCAAAAAAGAACCTAAAACCTGAAGAAGCAAAATGTCATTAAAAGGACAAGAAAGAAAAAAAACACCAAAGTGAATGAAGTCAGGATCAGCATTGGACTGTGAACCACACAAGGTCAGTAGTTCCGACCACTAGCTGCTCCTGCTACAGGGTCACTATGAGTTGGAACTGACCTGACAGCACTTTGAAAGTTGCTCTTGAACACGGAGAAGCTAAAGCTTGAAGAAATGATGGAAGGAATGATGACACAAAGAGTTGATCAGAAATTTCAAAGGATAGCTAGACAAGTCAAAGTATTATAATTAAGTATGCAGAGACCAAGATAACAGCTTGTTCAGTATTTCTCAAGCTGAAGGAACTGAAGAAAAAAGCAAGGAGATTATGTCAAAAGGATGTACTTGTCTTTTCTAAATTTATTTTACTTATTAAAATAAATTCCACAGCGAGAGTGCTGATAATTTTTTATTCACTCTTGTATACATGTGTTAACATATATGTATAGCATATAAGCCTCAAGCTGCTTTTATTCTACAGACAAATTGCTTTAAATCTACAGACAAAGTATTGAATGATCAATAAATCATTGATAGTTTGAACTAGTTGGGGTTAGTTCAAACCAGATAAAATCAGAAAAAACAAGAAAGGAAGCATCAAAAAAAGATGGAAGGAATAGAGTCACTATATCAAAATGAACTGGTTGATAGTCATTCATTTCCAGAGTTACCAACTGATTAAGAACAGATAGAACTGAAGATATAAGTCCAAGCTGCACTGAAGACAATGGTGAAAAATAAGGCTCCAGGAGTTAACGGAACACAAACTGAAAAGCTTTAATGAACTGATGCAGCACAAATTTCCAGCTAAGAAATCTGGAAGGCAGCTACCTGGTCACTTACTGGAAGAGATCATATGTGTGCCTGTTCCAAAGAACAGTGATTCAACAGAATGCAGAAATCATCAATGTAGTTAGTATCACACGATGGAAAATTTTTTCTGAAGATAATTTAAATAGGGTTGTAGGAATACATAACAGGGAGCTCCAGAAATTCAGGTTGGATTCATAAGAATATGTGGAACGAAGGAAATCACTACTGACGTCAGATGGATCTTGAAAGCAGAGAATACTAGAAAGAAGTTTACTTGTACTTTACTGACTACGCAAAGGCACTCAACTGTATGGATCATAACAAACTATGGATAACACTGCAAAAAATGGGTATTCTAGAACACTTAATTATGTGCTCATAAAAAACCTGTATATATACCAAGAGGCAGTTGTTCAAACAGAACAAGGGGATACTGACTGGTTTAAAATCAGAAAAGGTGTGTGCCAGTGTTGTATCCTTTTACCGTACTTATTCAATCTGTATGCTGAAAAAATAATCTGAGAAGCTGGGTTACATGAAGAAGAAAGTGGCATCAAGATTGGAGGAAGACTCATTAACAACCTGAGATATACAGAAGACATAACTTTGCTTGCTGGAAAAGAGAACTTAAAATACTTGCTGATGAAGATCGAAGACTACAGCATTTAGTATGGACTGCACCTCAAGGTAAAGAAAACAAAAATCTTCACCACTGGACCAATAAATAACATCATGATAAATGGAGAAAAGCTTGAAGTTGTCAAAGACTTAGTTTTCTTGGCTCCACATGCAATGCTCACAGCAGCAGCAGCTAAGAAATCAAACGATGTATTGCATTGGGGAAATTTGCTGCAAGACACCTCTTTGAAGAACAAAATTAGCAGTTTGAGGACTAAGGTGTGCCTGACCCAAGCCATGGTATTTCCCATCATCTCATATGCATGGTGTGGCATTGTGGGTTAATGCACTGGACTGCACAGTGGATTTGAACCGCAAGGTTGGCAGTTCAATCTCACCAGTCACTCCTTGAAAACTCTATACAGGGTTGCTATGAGTTGGAACCCACTCGACGGAATTTAACAACATATGCATGTACATGTGCAAGATGGACAATGAATAAAGTAGAATTAATGCATCTGAATTACAGTTTGGAGAAGAATACTGATAGGACCATGTACTGTCAGAAGAACCAACAAATGTGTCTTGGAAGAAGTACAATCAGAATGCTCCTGAGAAGGGAGAATGGCCAGACTATGGCAGAGTTTGATTCTGTCGTGCAGAGGGTTGCTATGGTTTGGAATGGACTCAATGGCATCTAACAAGAACAATACCATGTTAGATTTCCATCTGAATCGTTACATTAACATTGAAGAAAATAATACTAGGGTCAGAGAAAAATAAAAATAAGGCCTAAATCTAATTTGATTTGAGTTGTTGTTTTGTGCTATTGAGTCATAGTGACTATGTACAGTGTTTCCAAGGCTGTAAGTCTTTACTGGAGCAGAGAAAGACTCATCTTTCTCCCTCAAAACAACTGGTAGTTTCAAACTGCCGACCTTGAGGTTAGCTGCCTGATCTGAAATGACTACACCACCAGGGCTCCTTATGACTATAAAAGATGTACAAAGAGAAAGGACGGGGAAGACGTACAGCAGCCCCTAACAACGTGACTATGTCATAAACTGGGGACTATACTTACTGAGTTTGATGGAACCCGCTCATGTTGGGGCTAATTCAAACCAGATAAAATAAGTCAAAGATGATGAAAACAGAACAATATATATCTGTATCACTCTTTTACATGGAAACTCATACCTGTAACTGGGTTGTGTCGTCAAAAAGGTGACTCTCTTCTCTACATGATTTCTCTAGAAATGTAATAACCAATACAGTGGCCACTGTTCATATACGCAGAGGGTTTCAAAAAGTTCATGGGAAATGGGATAGAAAGATACTGGCATATTTCCACGATGTTTTGAACCCCTCTCATGTGTCCTGAATACATGAAATGTGGCTAATCTAAATGAAGATGTGCTCTAAGGGTAAGGTATAGCCTCCATGCAAAAAGAAAAAGAAAAATGACTAATGAATGTTTTATAGTGATTAAAAGATGCAATGGTAATATTGTGACATATTGGTTTAAATGTATTAATACATCTGTCTGCACTCTCCAGGAACCTATGACACACAGAAAACAACAACAAAAAAGACTACTGTCATGAGACTTGAATAGCCCCACAGGGTTTCCAGAAACAGACCATCACATCTTTCTCTCAGGATGAACCTTTCAAGTAGCAATCGAGTGCTTAAATACTATGGCTTAAATACCAGGGATCATGTGGTACCTTAAAGGTGGCCAATACATTATCTGTTGAATTAATACGGAAAAAAAGACAGCACATCCTCACCCAACGAGAGCAGATTCCTGTAGATCTCCAGCATCACTTCTCCATAGAGGTTCTTCTGCTCAGAGCTCAGGCTCTTCCATTCTGCCTCCGTGAAAACCACGGTGACATCCTCGATTGTAACTGGTTCCTAGAACAAGCGATAAAGTCAAGGCACAGCAAGTCACCATCACTCTTCCCAACAAGAGGAGTTTCATTGGTGGTCCTGAAAAGCCTGCATCTGAAGAAGTTCATCTAACTCTTTCAGACAACACAGCTCTCCATAGTTGTTCTGGACATGACTGGACATCCAGCTCTGTGACAAAAGCTGTGAGGAACATCACTGATGCACAAAAGACATCCTGGCCCTCAAACACATGTGACTTCACTGGATAAATGATTTGTGAATCCATCTGAGAGCGATAAGCAGAATTCAAGAAGGGATTTTGAGAATTTATAATGGAGAAATTCCAAGATGGGACTGGGCTAGGCAGTAAGAGATGATGATGATTCTAAGGAGAAGATGGAACTTAGAGAAAACTGGGGTCTGGAAAGAGCATTTCTGAAGAGTTCAGGTAACTAAATGTTGACCATCTTCTACTTTTTCAAGACAGAGTATAGGCCGATTCTCTGGGCAGTGAATCAGTATTTCAGAAAAATAAGAAAATTGTTACTCACCACTATTTGGGGCCTCCTCTTCTCCTGTTGGGGCCCGTCAGCAGCCTTGAAAGACACACCTATGGGAAGAAAGAGAAGCTGCGAAAAAAACAAACTTCCACAATGTTCAAGAAGCACTCTTCTGATCATGGGATGGAAGAAAGTAGCTACTTGACTCGACTCAGTTGTGGCCAGTAACATAGTCTCATCTGAACCTAAAGCCTTGGTTGCCTCTGCAGATCAACAAATCTCACCTTTTGTCTTGTGTGTTTGAGTCCATTGCTTCCTGGTCTGCATATCGTCCTTGTTTTTTGAAGTCAAACTCTTCTTCCAGTCCTGCTCTCCTTGGACAGATGGATCAGGCGGAGTAATGGCCTCAGAATCAATCCAGGGATTGCCTTGAAATTCTGCCACAGGGTCAGTTGAAAGGTATTTCATCTCCAGATGGATCGCTGCTGCCTGGGGTAACTTCTTCACACATCAGTAATGAAAACCCCTTTTATTTCATGCTAGCAGGACCTAAGGGGTGAAGACAGCACTTGATAATGTTGAACTCTATATTGTAAAATCAACACTTCCAGAGGATCGGTCCATTCAGGGTCTTTGGAGTTTCTACCTTCAGTCATTTCTATTCTACAAGCCCTCAAGTCTATTCTATGACACTCTCCCTCATATGCCAAAATGTAGTGCATCCCTTTTGCCCCCACATCTCAGATTCCAGCTTCATGTCCCAGATCAATTTCTGGTACTTGGCGTCAGAAAGAAGACAAGACACAGCCCAATACCTGTGGAGAAACAGATGATGGCAGTTTCCTGCAGACCAAGCAGAGCCTGCAGCAGTCGGCTGCTGCCTCCCTGAGCCCAAGGTCCTAGTTGTGTTCACCTTCCTAAGTCCCTGTACAGGCAGCCTCAATATAACCCTGAGTTAAATTCCTGTAGACCTATTATATTCAAACCCCACAGGAGCATGTCGGACAAAGATGGAAAGCGGCATTTACTATAGACAAGAGGCCATTCCTGGTGAGTGTGGGGTTGGGCTGGACTTTATACACATTCCTGCACAGAATGATATGGGAGGAGAAGAGTGGATTGGATGTGGTGCATGCAGAGGTGGCGACAAGGACCAACTATGTGGGTATAATTGCTTCCAGATCATTTGTGGGGGCATTCAAACAAATGCTGTCAACCAAAGAATTAACCTGATATTCATGAATTTGTTGTTGTTAAGTGCTGTTGAGTTGGTTCCAACCCATAGTGACCCTGTATAGGGTTTCTGAGGAGCAGCTGGTGAGCTTTAACTGCTGACCTTGCGGTTCAAATTGACTTTGTAGTCCATCACATGAACCCACGGCGCCACACCAGGGCTCCAATATTCATGAATAGAAGGATGTATTTTTAAATGATTCGTATTTCAGAGAATCTCAGAACATTTCTTTAACAGGCCTTTTTCAAAAGTCAGGTTATTCCTCTCATGTGCCCTTGCCCTACAATAACCCTCACTAAGGTAACCACCGAGGCAAAATGTTAAAGCAATTTCAAATAATAACAAGCCTGCATCCAGTGCGGTAAAGTGGATTCCCACTCATAGCAACCCTATGTTGTTGTTCAGTGCCACTGAGTAGGTTACAACTCACAGCGATCCTGTATAGTGTTTCCAAGGAACAGCTTGTGGGTTTGAATTGCAACCTTGTGGCTAGCAGGCCAGTGTTTATCTTACAGCGCCACACCAAGACTCCCTATGTTACTGTTGGTAGGTGCTGTTGAGTCAGTTCCGCCTCATAGCAACCCTGTATAGGGTTTCCAAGGGCCAGTTGGTGGGTTTGAACTGCCTACATTTCAGTTAGTAGTCCAATGCTTATTCTACTACACCACATCAGAACTCCCTATACTGTTAGGTATCATCAAGTTGATTCCGACTCACTGTGACTCATACATAACAGAACGCAACACTGCCCAGTGCAGCACTAGCCTCACAATTTTTGTTACACTTGAGCTCACTGCTGCTGTCACTGTACAAATCCAGCTTGGTGGTGGTCTTCCCCTTTTTCGCTGACCCTCCACTTTACCAAGCATGATGTCCTTCTTCAGGGATTGGTCTCTTCTGGTAACACGTCCAAAAAGTATCGCCATCCTTGGTTCTAAGGTGCACTGTGACTGTACTCCCTACAGAACAGAGGAAAACGGACCCAGCAAGTTCCCAAGGCTGTAAATCTTCACAAAATGGCACATCGTTCCCCTACAGAGGCCTGGTGGGTTCAAACCGCCTACAGGGTTTCCAAGGCCACAGATCTTTAGGGAAGCCGTCTGTCCCGTTTTGCTTATGGAGTAGCTGGTGGGCTACTTCCGCTTTACTTCTGGTTAGCTGAGCCCTCAACCATTAGGCTACAAAGGCTCCTTTTGGGATATTGCAAGACCCCATCCAAAAACAAAAGAAGAAGGGGAAAAAACACCTATCTTAGCAAGGACAATAAATCCTGGATTCCCAACAGACCTGGAAATGCAAGACCCTGGGATTTTACATACTGAGCCATGTTCCTATCAACAGGGAATGTGAGACTATGGCCACTGGCTGAACTCATCCCTCCTCAGATCCCTAAATTACAGAGCCATCATCTCCATTCACGAATTGCTACACCCTCTCCTTCAAAAAACAAATCACAACTTCTACGTCACTGACTCCCTAGTCCCAAACCCTGCAACTCGAGCATACAAGGTGTGTCTTACTCAATCCCTTGCCCCAAATACGCGTCTCCTTTTCCAAAATTGGAACTTCAGGACGCCTCTGACGTTGAGCCTCCACAGCGCAGACTCCCATCTCTCCACCCGACCCACTCCCCTGCCTGCCAGCCGAACTCCAGCTGGGGTCCTAACGCCAGACTTTATCTTTCCCTGATGCCTTCACTGCGCGGGGTTAGACACTCAGGGATCCGTGGGGACCTCGCTCCACCCAGTCATTTCCGCGGAGCTAAGCCAGAACTAACGTCTTCAGACGCCGCGCGCTCTGCGGCTCCCATCGGCAGCCACAAAAGCCGCTTCTGAGCAACGCGGTGAATTTACCAGAGAAAAGCTATTGTGCTGACAACCTCGCCAGACTCTTCTTAAAAATACCTTTCCATTAACCAGATAACGCTCCTCCACTGACGCCTCTGTTCCGCAGTCCCACCTCAAAGACTACTCTAGAGATAACCAACGTCTCCCCAACTACTTCCCGGCCGCTCCTCGGCGCGCAAGACGTCGTAAGACAGCGCTTCCGGTTGGCGTCTTGGCCCCGCCTAAGGGTGGGGTTGACTGGAAAGCAGGCGTTTGGCCTCTGCACAGGCAAGTCCAGCTGAGTTTCTGGGCTTAGACTCCGTATAACATCCCTGAGCACCGTATACACCTGGCCTCTCGTGCTGCCGACGCATCCCTGTGCTCAGCCTCATTTTACTTAGGAGGACGCCAACTGAGAAAGCAAAGCAGGCTCGCAAGGTTAGAGCCACGAAGCAGCAGAAAGATGTTTTTTCATTTATTGATTACACAAAGACAGTAGATTATGTAGATCACTGAAACTATATGTAACATTACAAAGAATGGGGATTCCAGAACACTCAGTTGTGCTCAAGCAGAAGCTGTACATAGACCAAGAGATAATGGTTGTAACCGAACAAGGGAATCTTGACTGGTTTAAAATCAGGAAAGGTGTGACTCAGGTTTTATCCTTTCACCATTTAGTCAACCCGTATGCCGTGCAAATAACTTGAGAAGCTTGATTGTATTGTAGGAACTGTTCAATGCTAAAAAAATTGTTAAATATTTTAACAAATACTGTTTCCCAAGGAATCTGATGCCCATAAAAAAATGCATATTGAATGTTTTCTTATTTCAGAGGATCTCAAGACTTCTTCAGCAAGCTTTCTTCAAAACCCAGGTTATTCCTTTAATGTGACCTGGCCTTACACCAACACTCACATTAGGTTAACACATAAGCAAAAGGGTAAAAGTAATTATGATTTATAGCAACCCTATGTTGAGTTGGTTCCTACTAATAGTGACCCTGTATAGGGTTTCCCAGGCTTTTTAAATCTCTCTGCTCCTGCAGATAGCCGCAGTTTTCTCCTATGGAGCAACCCTATAGAACAGAGTAAAATTGCTCCATATGGTTTCAAAAACGGTAAATAATTACAGAAACTAATTGACACATATTTCACCCTCAGCATCTGGTAGTTCAAATCTTTTGATGGCAATTGAACACTTCACTGGCTTTGCCACAAAAGGCCCTCCAATGATTCCAGATCCAATAAACTCTCTCACCATCTGCTAGGGATATTGTACCACTATCAAGCTCACTTCTAATCCCCTCCTTGCCCACTCAACAAACAAGAGCACAGCAGGTCCTGAGACATCCTCAGCCCAGGCCTTACCCCTACTCCACTACTACCTGGGATATCTTCTTAACCCTCCTACTACATTTCTCAAACTGAAAGAACTGAAGAAAAAATTCAGGCCTCAACTTGAAATACTAAAGGAATTTCCATGCAAAATATTGAACGATTCAAGAAGCATCAAAAGATGATAGAAGGAATACATAGAATACTAATGCCTGATAAATACTGAGCTGAGCTGTCTGCCACAGATGGGAGATCAAGACAAAAGTAACACCTGTATTTGCAAATTGGAAAGTGCAAGGAGACAAGGGAATCTAAGTCACCAATCATCTTACTGTGAAGGGGAGTTAGGAGATGGCCCCTAAGGTGGCTTTGGGGGATAAATCACAATGCTGAAATGGTAAATGTTAGGGTTTCTTGTATACTATTTCCAACTTCAGTGAGCACTTTGGTTCTTCATGCTACAGTGAGTTAAAATTTCAATAACTGTAGCTGGGAAATCTTATGGTTATACTAACTTAAAATAAAATGTGTCACCAGGGTCTTTTTCTGCCTCTGGCCAAAGAAAGAAAAATGGTGTTTTAAGGGGGCATCTGTGTCAGTACCAAAAAGAATTGGTTGATGTTCAGCCATTTCAGGAGACAGCATATGATCACATCTAAGCAGCACGAAGACATTGGTGAAAAACAAAGCTCCAGGAATTGGTAAAATACAGATTAAACTGGTTCAGCAAATGGATGCAATGTTGGAAGTACTAATTAGCCTATGCCAAGAAATTTGGAAGTCAACTACCAAGACAATGGATGGGAAGAGATCCATGTTTAGTGCCCATTCCAAAGAAAGGTGACCCAACAGAGTACAGAAATTATTGAACAGTATCATTAATATCCCACACAAGTCAACTTTTGCTGAAGATAATTTAAAAACAATTGTAACAACATCTCGACTGTGAGCTGCCAAAAATTTAAGCTGAATTCAAAAGAGGAAGTAAAGTGAGGGATATCATTGCTGACATCAGGTATATCTTGGCTGAAAGCTGAGAACACCAGAAAGATGTTTACTTGTGTTTTATTGACAATGCAAAGGCATTGGACTGTTTGGATCATAACCATCTATGGATAACTATGTGAAGAATGGGAATTTAAGAACACTTCATTGAGCTCATGAGGAACCTGTACACAAAACAAGAGGCTGTGTTTAAACAAAACAAAGATACTAATTGGTTTTAAATTAGGAAAGTTGTGTTATTGTGTTTGCATCCTTTCATCATATTTATTCAATCTGTGTTGAGCAAATAATCTGAGAACCTGGCATCAGGATTGCAGGAAGGCTCATTATCAACCTGCAATATGCAGATGACACAACCTTGCTTGCTGAAGGCAAAGGAGACTTGAAGCACTAGCTGATGAAGATCAAAGAATAGAGTCTTGGGTGTAGATTACATCTCAATAAAAATGTCAGACATCATTTCACCCTCCAACCTTTTTGCGAATTCTGACACCAGTCATTCTTCCCAAGTAACTCTACTCTTTTGGATGTGATAATCCATTGCTGCAGCCACACAGAACTCAGACAAGACTCCGAATTATAGGGTTTACTAGGGAAGTCACAGGTTACAATTCAGGATCAGAAATGATTCAGAATACAGTTCTTTGATCAGGACAAGTCTCCTCTCAGCAGTGCCTGGTCCTCATCATCTCTGCCCCATGGCCCCAAGCCCTATGGCCCCTGCCCTGCTTGGGCAAGTGTTACAAAACATTTTTAACTCTGCTAATACGTGCCCGTAGCACCCTACTCCCAGTACGCCGCAGCTTGAAGGTGCTCAGCTCTAGGTCTGGGAGTGGGCAAACCTAACTCCTTTGTGATCCATGGAACATAAAGTGCCAGCCGACATTTCACACCTCTGAGGTTTAGTCGGAAAGTGCAATTCTGCTTTTCGTGTGTATGACCATCTGGTTTGGGGTTGTATGACAGCATACATCTAGAGAAACTGTCTCATCTCAGCAACCACGGCATCAGAAACTACTTGGAGCATATGTGTTCTACTCATTTGTCAAATTTCATTATTCTGTCAAAAAAGTTTTTCAGGTCATTCACAATGCCTTCCACTATTGAAGAAAACATGGTTTCAACCAAAAACTCAACAGAGAAAATGATTCCGTCTTAAAAAGCTTACGAGAAGGCATTTGTTGTTAAGTACCGTGGAGTCGCTCTCGAATCATAGTGACCCTGCACAGGATATCCGAGGTTGTAAATCTTTACGGGAGCAGAACGCCTCATCTTTCTCCCATGGAACTGCTGGTAGTTTCGAACTGCTGACCTTGAGGTTGGCAGCCCGATTCGTAACCACTACGCTACCAGAGTTCCTTACTAAATAAAGCTCCTCCTATTCCCACTGCCCACATAGTGCTTCTCAAACAAAAAAACACCATCAAAAACTGCTGCCCAACATATAGTGAAATGCACCTTTTCCCCAACTCCCACCCACTCTTTCTATCCATACAGAACTTCTGTGTCTTCAGATGGAGGAGAGGAATAATTTACAGTAAAGCCCTGGCCACATCCATAGCAAACATAAAACTTCTCATCTGAGTGGATCTCTTGAGATCTTGTGACTCTGACTTCTGGCTACAGTCCGGGCCACAATCACTGCAGACATAGGGCTTCTCCCGAGTGGGCCTGCTGATGTCTGAGTAGGCTTTGCTTAGAGCTGAAGCCACGCCTGCAGTGCTTGCACACATGTGGCTTCTCCCCTGAGTGTGTCCTTTGGTGCATAAGCAGGCCTGACTTCTGGGTAAAGCCTCTCCCACATTCCAGGCACACATGTGGCTTCTCCCCTGAGTGTGTCCTCTGGTGCATAAGCAGGCCTGACTTCTGGGTAAAGCCTCTCCCACACTCACTACAAATGTAGGGTTTCTCCCCTGAGTGTGTCCTCTGGTGGTAAAGAAAGCCTGACTTCCACTTAAAGCCTCTCCCACATTTATTGCAAACATACAACTTCTCCCCGGAGTGTGTGCTCTGATGCATGAGGAGGACTGATTTCTGGGTAAATCCTCGATCACACTCATTGCAAACATACGGCTTCTCACCGGAGTGTATCCTCTGGTGTATGATGAGAGTTGATTTGTGGCTAAAGCCTCGCCCACATTCCTTACATACATGTGGCTTCTCATGTGAGTGTGTACTTTGGTGTATGATGAGATGTGACTTCTGTGTAAAGCCTCGGCCACATTCATTGCACACATATGGCTTCTCCCCTGAGTGTGTCCTCTGGTGGTTAAGGAGACCTGACTTCTGGGTAAACCCTCGCCCACAGTCACTGCAAACATAGGGCTTCTTATCTGAGTGTGTCCTCTGGTGTGTGATGAGATGTGACCTATGACTAAATCCTCGCCCACACTCCTTGCACACATGTGGTTTCTCCCCTGAATGTGTCCTCTGGTGTCTGATGAGAGATGAATTCTGGGTAAAGCCTCGTCCACATTCCTTGCACACATGTGGCTTCTCCCCTGAATGTGTCCTCTGGTGCATAAAGAGGACTGATTTCTGGGTAAAGCCTCGCCCACATTCCTTGCACACATGTGGCTTCTCTCCTGAATGTGTCCTCTGGTGGTTAAGAAGGCCGGACTTCTGGGTAAAGCCTCGGCCACAGTCCAAGCACACATAAGGCTTCTCTCCTGAGTGCGTCCTCTGGTGTATGATGAGAGTTGACTGATAGTTAAAACCTCGGCCACACTCCTTGCACACACATGGTTTCTCCCCCGAGTGTGTCCTCTGATGAATGATGAGAGTTGACTTGTAGCTAAAACCTCGGCCACATTCATTGCACACATGGGACTTCTGGTTTGTGAAGTTTGACTTCAGGCTATGGTCTGCTCCACCCTTTCTATAGGTAACTGCTCCAAATCTTGACGTTCCTAATTCCTTCAACCTTTTATCTGTTGTCACAGATGACAGCTTTTGGGCAGAGCTAGGCTCTGTTCCTACCCCTGTGTGGCCTTTTCGAGAGCCTGCTGGCTGTCTTTGGGGTGGGCTGGAAAATGTCCTTGAAGTCTTTTTCTCCCCTGTCCTTCCACACACAGGTTTGCAGACATTTTCTCTCTTCTGACCATCTGTGTTTTCACACCAGCAGCTCTGATCAGAATCCTGCAGCTGTGTCTGCTTCTGATGTCCTGGGCTGGCACCCCTTGGATGGAAGAGATGCTCTGCACACAAGCTTGGGAAGATCTGAAGCACATGTTGGCTTAGGAATTGCTGACACGAGAAAGCCAGAAGGCAGGAGAAACAGTGGTAAGTTTCTGGCTTTGGTTCTGCTGAAAAGAGAAAATTTTCTGTTAGAGCAGCCATGAGTTGGGTTATCTGGGCTCTCTGCCTTCTCCCATGATAGAGAGCACCTCCTTGCTGGAGGACCTTGGTGGCACAAACACCTAAGGGCTCAATGACCAGCTGAAGGTTGGCAGTTCAAAAGACAGGCTGAGCGATCTGCTTCCAAAACTTCTAGTTTACATGGGTGGTGTCTCCATGAGTTAGAATCGACTCAACAGCAACTGACAAAAGCCTAGTTAAACCCAAAACCAAACTCACTGCCACAGAGTAGGTTCCGACTCATACTGACCTCGCAGGGCAGAACAGGACCGCTCCACAGGGTCCGACGGAGGTCAACCTTTACTTGAGAACCACACATCTTTTTCCCATGTATTTTGGATTTCTCTGTGGGTTTCAACCATAAACCTATTGGGTAGCAGCCAAGCTCTTAACTAATACCAGAGCCCCTACGTCTACCTTAACCCCCATTAAGTAAAACATATAAAACCAATTGCCATAAAATCAAATCTAACTCATGGACACCCATGTGTGTCAGAGTAGGCCTGAGAGCCAAGTGTATTAATGGCTGAGTTTTCAAAAGTAGATCATCAGTTTCTTTCTGCTGCTATCACTAACACTGGTTTTGCTGGCTCCATTGGGGAGCTATGATGCACTTCACGGTGATATTTCCAAAAGAAAATTTAACGGGGAGATCATATTACCCTCAAGACACAACATTGGATACAGCTGCCAACGAGTAAAAGCATACACTGCTGTATGGAACTGGCCCCTCCTGATAACTTGTCCAGAGTATGCAAGGCAGTTTCTTCATACTTGATTCAAGGAGAATTCTGGCTGCACTTCTTTCAAGATAGATTTGTATGTTCTTTGGAGCCCAGTAGCATAGTGGTTATACATTGGGCTGCTAACTATAAGGTCAGCACATCGAATCTACCAGCCGCTCAAACCCTAAACAAGGAGGGGACTGACTGACTTTGCAGTCCAGAAGCAGAGCTCCCTTGGACCATCAAGTGAGAAGAGTGGAGTGCGGGACCCGACCCAGAGAAGCAGTAATGCCAGAAATGGAGGCAGAGAAGATGACGTGGACAGATGGAGCGGCTGGTGACACTGGACTCAGGGAGGGAGAGGGGCTGTGTGCTGACGGATGGGGGGCAGGCCTGTGGGGTGTACCCTTTGGTTGTTTGATGAGGCATGGAGGGGATTGTAATCAGTACAATGAAATGAAATACGACATGATGAATGTAGAAATTATGTTCTCCCATGTAAAATCACATAATTCACAATAAAATCTTAAAAAAAAAAAAAAAAGTAGACCACCAGAGTCTTTTTTTCTAAGACACTGTTAGGGGGACTCTAACCTCCAACTTTATAAATTTTGTTGTTGTTAAGTGCCGTTGAATCAGTTCTGACTCAGCGTTCCTGTATAGGGTTTCCAAGAAGTGACTGGTGAGCTTGAACTGCCAACCTTGCGGTTCAAACGACCTTGTGGTCCAATGCTTACCCTACAGCACCACCCCAGGACTCTCAACTTTATAACTACAACAAGCTTATAACCATGTGTACCACCCATCCCATGCACTGTCTCAGATTCATTTCAAGCTTCCCCTCTTGTGGTAAACTGCATTGTTGTCAAATTCTTTAGTTCCCTTCTCCACTTAGCCCATCCCTGCAGAAGAATTCTCTTTCCCAATATAAGGACATTGGTGGTGGTGGTTATGTGCCATGGAGTCAGTTCTGACTCACAGTGACCCTGTACAGGGTTTCCAAGGCTGTAAATCTTTACAGGAGCAGTAAGCCTCCTCTTTCTCCCACGGTTGTAACCTTTATGAAAGTAGATTGTCAGGATTTTCTTCTATGGTGCCATTGCATGGGTTGAAACACCAATCTTTAGGTCAATAATTGAGCACAAACTGTGCATTACCCATGAACCTTTGGAACACGGAAAAACAAAACACAAAAACCTGTTGCTATGAAGTTGATCCTGACTCATACAGATCCTTTAATATAGACTAGAATAACACCAGAGGGTTCCCAAAGCTACCCGATACAGGGTCAGTATGAGTCAGAACTGACTCGAGAGCACGTAAGAACAACAACATTTATGGAAACAGTGCCACATTTTTCTCCCAGGATTGATGGTCGGTTCAAACCTCTGACCTTTCAGTTTGCGATGAGTGCTTAATCACTATACCACCTGGGCTCCTTGGCACATAGTAGAAGGCCAAGGAATATCTGCTGAATTAATGAAGGAAAAGAAGACATCACAGCCTCACCCAACGAGAGCAGATTCCTGTAGATCTCCAGCATCACTTCTCTGTAGAGGTTCTTCTGCTCAGAGCTCAGTCTCTTCCATTCTGCCTCCGTGAAGACCACGGTGACATCCTCAAATGTAACTGGTTCCTAGAGTAAGGGATAAGTCACCACATAGCAAGTCACCATCACTCTTCTCAATGAGAGGAGTTTCACTGGTGGCCCTGAAGAGGCTGCATCTGAAAAAATTCATCTAACTCTTTCAGAGAACACAGTTTTCCATAGTTGTCCTTCCAGACATGACTAGTACCCAGATGTGAAAGAAAACGTGTGGAGAGCATCAGTGATGCGCAAAACACATCTTGACCCTCCAACATGCAACCTCAGTGGAGAAAGGACATATGAATCCATTTGAGAGCAATAAGGAGAATTCAAAATATTGACTTTGAGAATTCATAATGGAGGAATTCTACGATGGGAGGGGCTAGAAAAAACAGAAGGCATCCTGAAGGTGGCCCAGTGCTAAGCATAAAGGGACGGTGAAGATCTTATGATGGGAGGAACAGATGGGGTATGCAAGCATTTTTAAGAGATCAGGAAATTAAATGTGCTCGGTAAAACTCCTATCTTTGCTTATGAATTTTCTCAAAGAGGAGCCCTGGTCATGGGTTACACATTGAGCTGCTAATCAAAGGGTGAGCAGTTTGGAAGCTACCAGCTCCTCCATGGGGGAAGGATGAGACTGTCTGCTCCTGAAAGGATTTATAGCCTCGGAAACCCCAGGGAGCAGCTCTCCTCTGTCCCATAAGGTTGCTATGAGTCAATCAATTTCATGGCAGTGAGTTTGCTTTCTCTCTACTTATCATGTAGAGAACAATTACTTCATCTATGCAAAACAGTTGGCAAGTGAATGTTTAATATTCCAAAAAAAGAGCATTTATAGACAGTGGCTTCACTAGGGTCTGTGTCACCGGTGTGGAAGTTGATGGTGTCCGCCTCCTCCCTCAGGGCCAACAGACAGGAACCTCCTCCTCATGCTTCAAGGGGTGGAGCATCATGCCTCCTCCTACACCCAGAGCTCTTCCCTTCTCCAACTGGCCAAGGCTGAGGTCCTCGACACCCAATGGCATGTGCGATGGCCAACCACCCACCCACACTTGGACTTGGAAGTGGGGATGACAGGTTCTCACACTGGCAAATGAGTGACACAAACCCTTGTGCTGCCATCGTTTACAAGTAACTTAATCTTTTACAACAACAACAACCTGTTGTCTCACGGAGTTGATTCCAATGCATAATCATTCTGTAGAACAGAGTCAAACTACCGTACAGGGTTTCCAAGGCTGTAAATCTTTTATTAGGGCTCTGAAAAACAATTTATTGAGATTTAATATAAATTTAATTTGCTTAGTTAAAATAGGAGTCCTCACTGTGCACAGATCTAACATGCACAAATTTCAATTACCATGGTTTAGTTAAATAACCCCAGGACCCCAACCAGATGGTTGAGATTCTAGCTGCCATGGTACATTAACTATGAGTAACTGCATAAAGTACACACACTTTTCTTCTAGTTCTTCAGTTCAACGACAACTATGTAAACATCGATGCACATCAAGATCAGTATGAATCAGTATGAGTCCAGCTGACCTCAGGGTAGGTAGGGAGCTGATCCAATTAAACATGACTATAGTGAAGTCAGCAAAGGCTCTGGAGTTCCAAAGAAGCTCCATGGGCTTCCTGGATGGTGAAAGACATGGAAGTCTGTGGGATGGGATGGCAGCACACCCCTTCTTGGCACACGGAAGCTCTGCACCGGGAACCCTCCCAGGCCTTGCCTTACGTATGTATCCCTTCATTTATAGCCTGTTTTGCTTTAATTAAGCTGTAATTATAAAACGACCACTTTTGTGAATTCTGTGAGTTGTTGCAGTAAATTATTAAACCCAGAGGAGTAGTGGGAGCCAAGAGGTCAGAGGGGAGGGAGCCCAGGGGGTACTCCCAACCTTGCAGCTGGCATCCTTAAGGATAAGAGGAGAACTCTGAATTTTTAGCTAGTAGGTCAGAAGTAACAGAGCCAGAGGGTGAACTATGTTGTGGCTAGCATCCTGAAGGGACAAATCAATTTTGTAGTCAGCATGTACATTCTAAAACTTGTAGCTAGAATCTGCTGGTTTGGCAATTTGTAGAACAGTATCCTTTGAGCTTTTGAGAGCTGGCCTAACTCCAGGTGGCCAGAGTCAGAGAAAGAAGTGTTACATGGGCAGCTGGTATCAGAACTGAAGAGAAAAATGGGAAAGTGCGTAGTTTGATATTTTATATGTCATATTTGAGATTCATCAATACAATATCATATTCCTGTAAGTAAGACTGGCCATTACAGATGATGGTTGAAACTATAAGATGATGCCTGAGAATCTATTTCAACTCTGCTCTTTATTTGTGTAGGAGTCCTGCTGTGGCACTTGTAGGATAAACACTGGACTGCTAACTGCAAGGTCGGTGGTTCAAACCCACCAGCCACTCCTTGGAAACCCTATATAGAGTCAGACCTGACTTGATGGCACTTAACATTTATTTGTGTATATTTAAAAGTTCAATAATTAAAAAGCAAAACATCTCCAGTATACAAGAGGGTAACATTACATAGCATACATATGAATGTTACATGACTTTAGTAATACATTTAAGAACTTTAATAATTTCCATTAAAAAACATATTCCTTTTGTCTTAAAGAGTGTCCTGTATTCTTAATATTAATCTTGGGTATTTTTTTTAAACAAGAAAAATAAAATGCAAAAATACAGAAATCATTCTAAAATGCCTAGCATGGCCCCTGACCCTGAAGTACGAGATGTCTAAATGTTGATCACCTTCATTTCCAAGACACAGAATACAAGCCTATTCTCTAGGAAGTGAGCCAGCATTTCAGAAAAATAGGGGAATTGCAACTCACCAGTATTTTGGGTTTCCTCTTCCTCTCTTGAGGCCAGTCAGTATTCTTAGAAGATAAACCTACAGGAAGAAAAAGATTTGAGAAAGTAGATTTTCCATAATTTTCCCACAGGTCTTCTGGTCCTTGATTTCCCACTACCCATTTCAAAACCCTGAACAACTCTAACCTTTTGTCTTATGTGTCTGAGTCCAATTCTTCCTGGTCTCCATATCTTCTCTGTTCTTTGAAGTCAAACTCTTCTTCCAGTCTTGCTCTCCCCAGGCAGAAGGATCAGGCAACAGGATGGCTTTAGAATCAGTCCAGTGACTGTCTTGAAATGCTGCCACAGGGCCAGCTGGAAGTTACTTCATCTCCATATGGATCTCTGCTGCCTGGGTGACTTCACGTCTCAATTATGAAATCCCCCAGTGTTTCCAAGTACCCTGAGCCTGGGGGATGGAGAAGCGACTTGACGTTGCTGGGTCTTTCACAGTGTACTCTCTGCCCAGCCTCTTCGGCACATGTCTTGTTCTCTCATACCCTCCTTAGACAACAAACACATCAAGAGGCTCAGTTCTCTCAGTCTCCACCTTTATTCTTTTTGGGCTGATAAGCCCTCAAGTGTGTTCCCTAATGCTCTCTTTTACAACCAAAATTTATTTCACCCCTCTTGCCCCCACCTCAGATCCCAGCTTTATGACTCAGGTCAGTCATGCTATCTGAGTCAAACAGAAGACAGAATACAACCTAATGCTTGTGGAGAAAGAGACTCTGGGGGTTCCCGGTAGGCCAGTCAGAGCATGCAGCAGCCAGCTTCTACCTCCCCTATCCCTGTACTTGGAGGATTTGGAAAGGGGACGGAGGAAAAGGAGAGAGTAAAGATTAAGACTCAGTTTATGACCAGAGTATAACCAATCCTCAATTACCCATGAGATGTCAATCAATCCAGGTCTTGTTAATTACTAAGCAATAGTATCAAATACCAAGCTGTTTATAATTTACCTAGGATATGCTAAAGGAAAATCATTTTCCAAGCATTTTTTCCAAAGGACCAAGGCAAAGGCCACATAAAGGAAATAATTTCACAGCAGTGACAGGTGACTCAGACTAAGAGTCTCAGACCTAAAAAGGTAGCATGTCATGTTGTCGTCGTTGTTTGCCGGTAGGTGACTTCAAGTTGGTTTCCACTCATAGTACCCTATGGACAACAGAATGAAACCCTGCCCGGTCCTGCACCAGCCTCACAATCGTTGTTACATCTGAGCCCACTGCTGTTGCCACTGTGCCAATCTATCTTGTTGGGGGTCTTCCCCTTTTCACTGACCCTTCACTTTACCAAGCATGATATCATTCTCACTGGACGGTCCCTCCTGATAACATGTCCGAAGTAGAAGAGATAAAATCCGATCATCCTGACTTCTAAGTAGCTTTCTGGCTACACATCTTTCAACAAAGACTCCTTTGTTCTTCTGGCAGTCCATGGTTCTTTAACATACTTCTCCAACATTATAACTCAAACGTATTAACTCTTCTACGACCTTCCTCATTCATTGTCCAACTTTCACATACATACAAAGCTACTAAGAATACCATGGCTTGGGTCAGGCACACCTTAGTATTCAAACTGACATCTTTGCTCTTGAACATTTTAAAGAGGTCTTGTGCAGCAGATCTGCCTAATGCAATACATCATTGATTTCTTGAATGTGACACCAGAGGATTGGCAGAACAGAAGCAGCAGCAACAGAACCAAGAACCAGAGCACAAGACAAAGCAGTGAATTCCCAGTCCACGGAGAACATAAAGTTGAGTGATTTGAGGCAAGAAGCTTACTTGAAGAGTGGGGTGCCTCCAGGCACTTGAGTGGGGAAGCTAGGTTTTCTGACTCATGGAGCGAGAAACATGTACATTCAGGCTGAGGTTTATGGTATAGTGGTGTGTCCTATGGGCATTCATCAGCAGCTTACTGGAAAAACTGGGCCGTGAGCATTTCTAACCCCGAACTGTGACCTGTTAGTTACTCACATAACTGTAAGTAAGGTGTCTGATTTCTGTGGGGTCACTGCAATGGATTATCGAGCCCAGTTCAGTAGAGTGGTCTATGGGAGGAATGGTTGGTGTTTCAGATTTTTGCATGCAGCAACAGCCCAGAACTGGGAGCCCACAAGTGCCATGGGCCCAGTCAGCTTTGCCAGCATCCATGGTAGGAGTGGGAGAGCTGCAGTTTATGGGACCACAGAGATTCATTCACTCAGACATTGCTTTGAGCAGATGTTAAGTGGCACAGGGTAGATGATGAAAAAAATTGTGGGGCATCTTCATTTTGGAATTCTTTCTATTATTGTTGTTAAGTGCCATCGAGTCTGTTCCAACTCATAGTGACTCAATACAATGTTTCAGAGGAGCAGCTGGTGAGTTTGAACTGCCAACTTTGCAGTCCAGTGCTGTAGAATGCTGTATTTGACATATTTAATTACAACTGAAAAAATTTTTTTTCATAGATTAAATAAACCTTTGAGTTAAAAATCCCAAAAGCTACTTCAGTAGAACTTCAATAAAAGGGACCTGACTTAGTCCTTTCACCAGTCCTTTTGTCGCTGAGTTAGAGGGAATTAAGACTTACATCCATTTCTACAATTTATTAAAGGCCACAGTTCCTGTTTGAACTGACCAACAAGTTGAAGACCTCAAACTGAAATTCAGTTGCCCAGGTGGCCTAAAATAGATGATTGCAAAGCAAGCGGACAGCTGAACCAAAACTTATAGAACAAAATCGTGTAAGCTACTCAATAAAGTGGTTCTTTTGAATTCTGTTTCTTAAATTTTGGTATTTTTTTTCTCTTATATATACTGCACACTTAAAATAGTATTTTTTGGTGCTTCAGAAATATCCTATGTCAACTGCTGAAACTATTACATGATACTCAGTACTTATAACCTTGAAAGTAACTTCATGGCAGAAGTTAGATCTTATTCATTAGTGAAAACTTCTCTCAGTCCCTATGCTTTACGTGCAACACAGAAATCCTTATGTATCTATTTGCTTTTAGCATGTAGCTATCTTTTTTTTCCATCTGTTATTTCTTTTGATAGTTCTTATGTCAGCTCAAGCCCTAGTGTGGCAGTTTAACATAAGCACTGGTCTGGTAACCGCAAGGTCCATAGTTCAAGCCCACCAGCCACTCTCGGAAATCCTATAAGGGGTCACTATGAGTCAAACCCGACCCAATGGCACACAACAACAACAAGTCATCTTATATGCCAATCACTAATGAAACCTATTTTATTACTCTCATGACTTACAGGCTTTTTGTGTTTACACAAGGGCAAATAAAAAAGTATGACTACAAAATCATAAAAAACCTTTATTAAACAAATATATCAAAATGTGAAGCTGTCATTTCTAAAAAATATCACTTCTAGGTCTATACACTTCTGGAGGCTGTGTTTACATCTCTCCAATCCTTCCACTAAAAATTATTCACTCTTTGATTTAAAACATGGGAGAATGGCATCCGCAAGGATCTCAAATTGTGTTCCTGTTTTAAAGTTTTTTGAGTTAGGGGAACAAAGCTAAGGACAAGCTCATGGTTGTCAGGTGGATGGGGCAAGCCTTCCCAATGAGATTCTCCTGTGACAGCCCTTGCTTCCCTCAAAGAATGAGCAGTTGCATTGTCATGATGGAAAAACAATTCCTCTGTGCAACTTACCTGGCCTTCTCCTCACCCAAGCAGTATTCAATTTTCTTCAGACTTACTCACTATAACTCTTATGATTGTCCTGTGCCATTCAAGAAAAACTTATAAAGATTAATCATTTGAAATCCCAAAAGACAGTCACCATAGCCTTCTGAACGGACCTCTCTGCCTTGAATTTAACTGGTCCAGTAGTGGTGCTCAAATGCCACTGTTTTGATTGGACCATGTCTTTAAAGGTACCATAACAAGAATCATATATGTGCATTACTGAGAAAACTTGTCTGCAACCAATCCTTGATTGCAGACACATTTTCAGCCACATTTTGTTTGGAGTAAATCAGTGCATTTAAGAAGAGCAGTCCTACTAGCAGTAGTTTTTTACTTATCTTCATATACTATTTTTGGGAAGTCTTCTTACATCTTGAAATCTATCTTAGGGTTTCTCTTTTTCATACTCACAATTCCCACTGAAGCTTGATACGAAACTGATTGCAAAATAACGCAGTCAGTAATGAATGCCAGTAATTTGACTGAAGGCTGGGTCTGTCATCCTTCCCCACAAACTTTGCATGAAAATTCATATCAAATTCCTTGATCAAAAGGTGGGAATGTGTGAGAGATTTAAAAATCAGGGTTCCGAAATACTTGGTGGCACAGTGGTTAAAGTACCTAGCTGCGAAGCAGATCAAACCCCCCAGTCACTCTGTGAGAGAACAATGAGGCATTCTTTTTCAGTAAAGCCTTATAGCCTTGGAAACTTTATAGGATGGTTCTACTCTGCCCTATAGAACGAATGCCAGTAAGTGAGAGGCACTATCAGGTCTGTTTTGACAGTAGCTGGTAAAACAGCTGCCAGAAGGAAATGTTGCTGGGGCAAGAATGGTGGTAACATGAATGTGAGCACTGGTCTCGGGTATTAGTCCCTGTACAGCCCCACCTTAGAACAGGCCTGGTAAGTGGGGAAACAGATTGCCTCCAAGCCTTAAATATGATATTGAAGGACACAAATTGTCAAGGACGTACAAAGGAAATTAACCCATTTGCAGCAGATGAGACACTGTGGGAATGTGTAAGTGGTGGTGTGCCATGGAGTAGGTTCCAACTCATAGCGACCTTGTATTGAGTTCCCAAGACTGTAAATCTTTACGGGAGCAGAAAGCCTCATCTTTCTCCAACAGAACTGCTGGTAATTTCAAACTAGCCGACCTTGAGGTTAACAGCCCGACTCGTAACCACTACGTTACCCAGAAATAATCTGCCAGGAAGCAAAGGTCCTCCCTTTCTATACACACAACTCCTGTGAACACTCAGCGATGTGAGGTAGACCTGGGAATAGGCAGTTTATAAGCCTGCTGTCCATCTCTCTGTCCCCACGTATCAGGTTACAAATTCCCACGTTCCAAATGAGAAGACTCTTCTTTAAAACGAAAAACACAAAAAGCCTTAGGTGACAGAGAAGAGAAGAGTATGGGCAGCTTTTGGTGCTCAATGCCAAATGTTTTTTACATCAGAATACAGTCTGCCCTGACATCTAGCTGATATTGAGTAGGGAAATTACTTGCCTCAAGGCCACAAGTTGTATATATATATATATATACATGCATAGTGGTTACGAATCGGGCTGCGAACCTCAAGGTCCGCAGTTCGAAACTACAAGCTGTTCCGCGGGAGAAAGATGAGGCTTTCTGCTCCCGTAAAGATTTACAGCCTCGGAAACCCTGTACAGGGTCACTATGAGTCGGAGCCGACTCCACGGCACATAACAACAACAATATATATATGTACACACACACACATATATATATATATATATATATATAAGCTAACAATTACTAGTCCTACTGTGGTGCTGTAGGATAAGCATTAGACTGCTAGTCGCAAGACCAGAGGTTCAAACCTACCAAAGGCTCTTCTTCAGCCTATACAGAGTTGCTATGAATTAGAACTAACTAGGGAGCACTTCATTAACAGAAGTAATTCCAGGTAATGTACAACTTTACTACTCAAGAGTCTCATTAGTTTGCTCTTGGGATAAGAGAGGTGATATGTGCATATCTAGCTAAAGGTGACAAAATAAAAGTGCTTAGATTTGAACACTAACTGTGGAATGCCACATTGTTAGCCAGTTACACAAGTGACAAACCCCTGTGGGGTGTGACAATTCTCAAAATGTATCCACAGGAACAATAGAAAGGATGTAGATGAAACAAGACTGAACACGAATTAATAGTGAATCTGTTAAAGGGTCCACAGGTTGCATTGTACAACTTTACTGCTGCCGTTAAATGCCGTCAAGTTGGTTCCAACTTACAGTGGCCCTGTAGAATTTCTGATGCTTTTAAATCTTTGCGGAGCAGAAAGCCTTTAAAATACGTTCTTAATCATTAAAAATCCACATCCTGATATAAGGACCCCTGCAGAGAGGCTGGAAATGAACTAAGTATTAGCCAGGCAAAAGCCCTCAGTGGTTTCCACACTACTTTGTTGTTGTTGTTGTTGTTAAGTGCCGTTGAGTCGGTTCCAACCCATAGCGACCCTGTACAGGTTTCCGAGGGTGTAAATCCTTACAGGAGTAGAAAGCCTCATCTTTCTCCCACGGAGCGGCTGGTAGTTTCAAACCGCTGACTTTAAGGTTCGCAGCCCGATTCGTAACCACTACGCTACCAGAGCTCCTTAATCCACACTACTTAATCTCCATAAAGAGTAAAAGTAGGTTATCTACTAAAATAAAAAACGAAAGATATTTATTGAAGAAATAGTACAACTGCAGTTGCGAAACAATCTGTAAAACCGCAAATTACTCCAAAGTATAGAAAATGGACGGGCTTTTCTATATGAGAATTTTAGAGAAATAGTAACTATACATTAGTAATTATGAGTCATACATCCATTGATGTCTTTTGAACTGGAGGTAGTCTATGCAAGCAATGTATGAAAATGATTTTTCTTATCTTTCAGGATAAGGGAAGCTAGTAAAAAATTATTCTAAGAGTAGCTGTAGTTCTGTCTCTCCTGCTTATTCAGAAGGATTATGATTCAAATATTCTTTTCAGAGACATGCTACACTTCTGCTTTCTTTTCCTTCTGAGACAGTGTTCTCTGAGACAGTGCAGATCAACACATTTCTGTGAGCTCAGCTTGAATGCCTCTTATTTTTTCAGCTTGGACAAAGTGGAGTTTGTCTTCCACCAGGGCAGAAACTCCTCCTATGCCAACTACCTAGACTTTGGGGGCTCTTTCATATACTCCAAACGTCTTAAACCAGAGGTGGCCAACTAAGACATTGCAGGCACAATTAGACAGGAGCAGGGCAAATCAGCCAAATGGTCACCCACACTAAAACTAAAGTGGAAACCACTGCCACAAAGTAGAGCATGCATCTTTCACCAAAAACACAGTATCAGGTCCCAGAAAAGCAGATTTGAACCCACGCAAAAAAAAAAAAAGCTGCCCAGATACATGCCCTGGCAGCAGTAGAGAAAGTTTCACTTTCTGTGTCAGACTAAACCCATCTCCATCAAGGAGTCCTGGGGTGGCACTGTACGATAAGCACTGGATGGCAAGGTCATTTGAATCGCAAGGTTGTCAGTTCAAACTCACTAGCTGCTCCTCAGAAACCTCATACAGGGTCGCTACATGTCGAAACCAACTTAACAACAAAAACAACAACATGCCCATAAAGTCGCGGGCATTCCACTGAACCAAACTCACACCCACTGCCATCTCGCGCATTCAAACTCATTGCAATGCTGTTAGGGCAGAGGAGAATCTTCCCGTAAGATTCCCAGGCGGTAAACGTTTTCAGAAGTAGACTGCCATACCTTAGTCCCTCGGATTGGAAGGTGGGTTCAAATCCCCAACCTTCTGGTTAGCAGCTGAGCACTTTAACCACAGTGCCACCAAAATCCTATGGGAATATTTGAGAAATATCAAGCTCATATCCAATCACCTCTCCACCAATTCAACATACCAAGATATAGCAGGTCCTGAGACATCACCACACACAACCTCAGACCATCTGGGCTGCCTCCTTACCCCACCCACTGCCTTGGAGTGTATCTTACTCATAGCAAACCTGTAGGGCAGAGTTGTTGTTGTTGTTATGTGCCGTGGAGTCGGTTCCGACTCATAGTGACCCAGTACAGGGTTTCCGAGGCTGTAAATCTTTACGGGAGCAGAAAGCCTCATCTTTCTCCCTCGGAAGAGCTGATAGTTTCGAACTGCTGACCTCGCGGTTCACAGCCCGATTCGTAACCACTACGCTACCAGGGTTCCTAGTAGGACAGAGTAGAGCTGGCCATATAGGTTTACAGAAGCAAACTGCTACATCTTCTCCTGTAGAACAGCTGCAGGGTCCAACCACTGACCTTTCGGCTGTTGTTGCTGAGTGCCATCGAGTCAATTCGGGCCCACAGCGACCCTGTATAGGGTTTCCAAGGAGCAGCTGGTGAGTTTGAAGCACAGACCTTTGCAGTCACAGCGCCACACCAGGACCTTTGAGTTAGCAGCCACTAAACACTTAACCACTATGCGACCATGGTTCTTTTGGGGATGTCTTCGGCCCCTATTAAAAAACCAACCAATCTTGACATGCAAAGTCCAAGGTTCCAACCATGACCTGGAATTGCAGGTCCAAGAAGCGCTGGCCACATCAGCTGCAGTCCCATCAACAAAGGATGACAGTTTATTTGTCCCTGACTGAACTCATCCCTAGGCCCCTAAATCACTGTGGGAATAACCCTCTCTAATGGGCAATTCTCTGAGATTAACCCCAACCCCTTCAATTCGAACTTCCAGGTCACTGGGTCCCAGATACAACCAGGGGCTACAAGGTCCGCGTCATGCCCTGAAAGTCATGAGCCTCGCCCCCTTCTTCAAAATTGGAACATCAGGAACCCTTTGCCAGATGCACTCCTCTGCCAGCGAATTCTACCTCGGGTCATACCGCAAGACCCACCCTTTTGTGAAGCCCCCACTGCGCGGGAATCACTACGCCAGAACTACCCTCCACAGACCCCGCGCCCTGCGGCTCCCATCGGCCGCCACAAGAGCCGCTACTGAGCAACGCGGCGAATTTACCGAATAAGCCATTGTGGTGACAGCCTAGCCAGTCTCTTCTTAGAATACGTAGTCATCAAAACGGTGGTGGTTCCCAAGTGAAGTCTCAGTTCCGCCAGCCCTCCTCAGAGCGAACCTTCAAGAGGTGCCGGTGCAGCTTTTGACTCAGACGACTTCCGGATCAGTTCCTCGGCGCGCGAGATGACGTTGCAAGCACTTGAGGTGGTCGTGTGCGGCCCGCACAACGCGCTGGGTGGAAAACAAGATGACCTTTTTCTACCTAAGCATAGCTGTATCTTCTGTGCTTACACGCTTTAACAAGCAATAACCAACCATCCGTGAGCGCCATACAGGCCTGGCCTCTTGCAGCCGGTGCACTTCAATCCTCAGCCTCATTTGACTTATGGGAAATTTATTGGAAACAAAGCAGGCTCCCAGAATCAGAGCTGAGAACACCAGAAAGATGTTTATCTGTGTTTTATTGACTGGGCAAAAGGTATACATACAACTCAAACTATGGGTAATACTGCAAACAATGGGAATTATCGAACATTTTATTGTGATCATGTAGAACCTGCAACATAGCACATTTCTCAATTAGAGTCCTTGCAAATAATTCCAGAGTCAGTTTCCAAGTTGAAAATAAGGTTTCCACATTCTATGAGCAGGATGAGAGTTTACTACTAATTTTGAGGATTTCAACAAGAGGAAAATGATTAAAAGAAAAACATTAGAGTTAAGGGTAAGGATTCAACTCTTCTTTGTTCTTTAGGTATTGTCAAGTCTGTTCTAACTCACAGCAACACTATGTACAACAGAACGAAACACTCCCCCATTGCTGTTCAATCCTGACAACCATTGCTATGTTTGAACCCAATGTTATAACCACTGTGCTAATCCATTTTCTTAAAAGATCTCTTTTTACTGACTCTCTACTTCACCAAGCAGATGTGCTTCGTGCTTCTCTGGGGACTAGTCCCTCCTGGTATGTGCAAAGTATGTGATGTGAAGTCTCCCTATTCTTGCTTCTAAGGAGCATTCTGGCTCTTCTTCCAATAGAGATTTGTTTGGTTTTCTAGTAATCCATGGTGTATTCGATACTCTTTGACACCATCATAACTGAAAGCATCCATTCTTCTCTGGTCTTCCTTATCCATTGTCCAACTTTACTATGCATATGAGGCAATTGAAAATATCATACCTCAAAGTGGTACCTTCACTCTTTAACAATTTAAAGAGAACTTTTACAATAGATTTGCCAAATGCTGTATGCATTCTGATTAGACTGCATGGTGGTTGATTGTGGACACAACAAAAATTAAACACTCCAAAACTTCTATCTTTCTTGTTTATCAGGATGCTGTTTACTGATCAAGTTGAGAGGATTTTTTTTTTTTTTTTACATTAAGGTATAAACCATACTGTTTCTTTATATTAGGACTGTAATCTTTGATGTTCATCAATTAAGTGCTTCAAGGCCTCTTTGCTGTCAGCAAGCAAGGTTGTGCAGGTGCATATGGCACGCAGGTTGTTGATAACTTTTTCCAAAACTGCTGCGGCTTTCTTCATATAATCCAGAAGAACACCTTTCCTGATTTGACTCTTGGTGTATATGCAGGTTCTACATGATCACAATAAAATGTTCAATATTTCCCATTGTTTGCAGTATTACCCATAGTTTGAGTTGTATACCTTTTGCTCAGTCAATAAAACACAGATAAACATCTTTCTGGTGTTCTCAGCTCTGATTCTGGGAGCCTGCTTTGTTTCCAATAAATTTCCCATAAATCAAATGAGGCTGAGGATTGAAGTGCACCGGCTGCAAGAGGCCACGCCTGTATGGCGCTCACGGATGGTTGGTTTTTGCTTGTTAAAGCGTGTAAACACAGAAGATGCAGCTATGCTTAGGTAGAAAAAGGTCATCTTGCTTTCCATCCAGCGCGTTGTGCGGGCCGCACACGACCACCTCAAGTGCTTGCAACGTCATCTCGCGCGCCGAGGAACTGATCCGGAAGTCGTCTGAGTCAAAGGCTGCGCCGGCATCTCTTGAAGATAACCTCTTCCTTAGTCAACACATCAATTAGACTTCAGCTTAGCAGATGGCTTTAGTTTAGCTCATGAAAAGGATGTTTGAAACGTAAGGGCAAATAAAAATTAAACTGGACATTTCCTGTTTTCCAAAGGGAAGATACCTTTTCTTTCATAGCCTCAGGAGACTATATACTGTATTACTCCATTTACTTCACTGTTGGAGTCTGTGTAAAATTAGAAACAAAACAGGTTTATTGAAGGATAGAAATGTTTCAACCCATAAGACATCCAGATTCAGAGTAAAGATGGTCACTCTACCAGACAATGCGGAAGAAAACAATTTTGCGCAGTTGCTCCTGTGTGCCATCGATTTAGTTTCAACTCTTAGTAACCCCATAAAGGTTTCTGAACAAGAATGATGGGATTAAACTGCTGCCCTTGTAGTTAGCAGTCCAGGGCTTAGCCTACAGTAGTGCCACATCAGGGACTTGTGGAGCAGGAACTAAAAGTTACTAAATCATAGTTGGATGAAAGACAATCAGAAGTCAAAGAAAGGATAGAAGTCACTTCGCAGGAAAAGATGGATAACATACATGTGGTCTTACAAAATTGACTGTTGTTGTTGTTAAGTGCCGTGAGGTTGGTTCTGACTCATAGCGACCCTGCACAGGGTTTCCGAGGCTATAAATCTTTATGGGAGCAGACTGCCTCGTCTTTCTCCCGCAGAACTGCTGGTAGTTTTAAACTTCTGACCTTGCGGTTCACAGCTCAATTCGTAACCACTACACTACCAGCGCTCCTTACAAAATTGACTAAGGGTACATAATTGCAAGCATATGTGTTCTTCAGTTTATTACAAGATGGTCACAGGTCAATGAAAGGGCAAGTTTCTCAGATAACCTGATACAAAAATTGAATTCTCAGCCAAGTCAGTTTCTGAAGATCCATAATAAGGATTTATCTATAATGCTGTGCATCAAGGCCATTCAGGTGAAAGCCATCAATCACATCTTGCATTTGATTGACGGTAGTGGACAGGGAATACACAGTGAAACCCAGCATCAGCCAGACTTCAGTTTCTGAAGATGGCATCCCAGATCTAAACATTTACAAGATGTTGTTGTTAGGTGCCTTTGGGTCTGTTCCTATTAATAGAAACCCTATGAACAAAAGAATGAAACACTACTCTGTACTGTACTATTCTCAATTGTTGTATTTGAGCTCACTGATGCTATCACTGTATCAATCCATCTTGTTGGGGGTCTTCCTCCTTTCCACTGACTCTCCCTTTATCTTTGATGTTCTTCTCCAGGAAGTGGACTCTCCTGATAATATGTTCAAAGTATAAGAGACCAAGTCTTGCCATCCTGACTTCTAAGGAGCATTCTGGTTGTACCTCTTCTAAGACAGATTTGTTTATCCTTCTGACAGTCCATGGTACTTTCAGTATTCTTTGCTAACACCATAATTCAAATG